CTTCACATGGATAAGTCTTTCATCATTGAAGCTGAACGACATCTGGGTATCGCTGCACCCTCACTTCAGAAAGGTCCCCGCGCTTACGACCCCCCCCCCTCCCTCGAGGTCAAATACGACCCCCTGTTGTGATGATCACAACGATGGCGTGCCCTGGCTGCGCGTCGTGTTGGGCCTTGGTGTCAAGGGGAGCCTCGCTTGGTAACAATCTGTGTAGGTTTAGAGGCAGCTGGCACGATAATTTGATAATCGGCCTCAAATGCTAGCACGACGCTATGTAGCGGGAAAATGGAGAAACGAAGTGAAACGGTAAAACATCTGCGGAAGCCTCCGTTCCCAAGGACTCAAGAAGCGATTTCGGACGAGTTTCCTCTAGGCATCTTGCCAGTAACCGCTACGGTGGGTACGGCTGCATGTATGTACTCATATATCCATGCAGCACCGTTCATACCAATCCCTTCGCTTCATATTTTACTTCGCAAATGAAGCAATACGAGCATCAGGTACGGTCGTCCATTTGTGGGCGGGCGGGCGTGGTGGGCGTCCGGGTCGGTATGTTGTAGCTTGATAGGACCTTATGAGGGTACCTTTCTTGGGGAAGCGATACGTAGCGGTTGTTCTGTCCTGCCGGGCGTATTAATCCTACTCGCCTTAGAAATTTATCGTGCCAACTGCTTTTAAATCATGTGGCACTACCGTTGCTGCTTTTCCAGTTTTAGACAGCTTACCTTTTTAGACAGTTTACCTATGTTAAGTTTCAGAAGGAAATCAAAGCGTTGGAGTTATTGAAAACGAAGAAAATCGAGAACAAATTTCTACCACGTTTATGGGGAAAGGGAAAGACAGCGGATTTGACGTAGCTCTCATAGGATTTTTTTCGCACAGTCGTATGGGAATCAAAACAGAGTCGATTCAGGTACTACATCACTGACAACGTCGGACAGACTTTGCAGCGTCAATTACGCAGGTATAAAATTAGGTAGGTTGACATGTTCTCGAAGAACCGATATCAAATTGATTCCATGAAGTGTGTTTTCTATCCATCTCCAACGAACTGCGCGATATTTGGAGACGGTAAGAGAATTTGCTCCACTAAATGGATGGTTCGCTACATCCGGGACAGGGCTCCCTCCTAAGTTAACCAAGCCTTCTACACTCCGGAGAGGAAACACTTATACCCGATTGACCTGGGAGGATAATCACCTTGACTTGTCTATAGGTCGGCCCCGCAAGTCGTTGTATAGGCCGCATCGCATTTATCGAGCTAATAACTCATTCTGAAATGGAGAAGAATGGCGATGCGCATCTCGAATATGGATTGTCAACCTGCAAAAGACTACCCTTCTATTTAACCTCCTCCTCCTCTGGAGTGTCAGTGAGGTCATAAACTGCATTGTCAAAAATTTATTAAAGTGTTAAAGTGATTCTCAGATCTACAGCCGTTCGGTTTCCGCATTATGCCGGTACATAATTGGAAGCAGAATGAGAATCCATTGATCACCGAAGCTCGTCTCGTACATGGCAACATAAGGCCATCAGCGATTCTTGTCGGTGGTCCTCACGAAAGAGATATCGTCCGCCTGTTTGGTTTTCAATTCTGCAGTGAACATCCAGATGATGTTGACCTATCTCATTTTGTATAAGGAAGCACTGTGGCAGCAAGAGCAGTTCAGACGCGAACGAATACGGAAGCAGATCGTTATCCATCGACAACAGGTACATCACCGACAGGCTGTAAGCACAAAGCGAGCGAGCTAAAACCGACCAACACGATTCTTGAAATTGTTCATACTTGGTAAGTTACTAGAAGTGAAACCGTAGTGACTACATTTGAGCACGCTAATGCGCTACTGAATTCTTCTTTTAGGAAATCATTTACCACGTGCACTCTGGCCATAGTATATTCCTTATTACTTGAGCACGAGACAACACTTGACATGATGAAGCAGCCTCTCCCACTCTACAGTGGCGGTGCATTCGCCAAACCATAAGCGGCTCTTAGACAAAAATTCATAATTTGCTTTCAGATCGGCCTAGAAATAAGAGGAACGTGGGTTTAGGTTAGCAAGGGCTTGACAGACTGATGGGAAGAACACACCTAAATGGCGCAGGCATATCTCTTGAGTCGGGCTATTAGCGAAATTCATTAACTCCGTTCCGAGGCTTCAGTGATCGCGAAATAAAGTGATCGAGAAGAGACGGCACCTGCGATATTAGAGTGGAGCTCGTCATGTATTTGAGACCACGCGAGCTGTAGCCGAGGCATTCCTTTTCACGCGATATCCTTATTTGCATCATGCATTACACTAAATCACTATACTGCAGCTGTCACAGTATGATATCCATCGGCCCCCGGACCCTTCCTTTCTGTCATAATTGCTTGATTTCTCGTTTGGCGGTGGAGTAGCTTTCTCCGCTTGAACATTTATTTCAAAATTGCCGCTTGACTAATTCCACCGGAGTGCCCTCGACTAATACTCATCCTTTTCTCTTCTGTAGCTCTTCACCAACCGTTCAGAGAGCGTATAGTAAAGAGCAGATAGTCTATTATTTCGTTTAAGGACGCGTAACATGTAAGCTATCACGTAAACCACCGAAGTCGAGTCAGCGACTGACGCCCGACTAATTGTGCTAGCTCGACTTCTGCCACTCAGTGCCTAATCGACTATCATGAGGCTGTCAAAAATATAGTCGGAGGAGTTTTTCGGTCAAGGTAAGATCGTGTGATTGAACTTCTTTATTCACAAATTATTGATCGAACTGCGATTGTGCTTTCTCTTGAGAAATGTCTGCTTCTTACAGGACTGGGATACGCATGAAAAGATGTCATTTGGAAAAGATATTGGTAAATGCTCTCAATCACATTTTTAACTGGTTTTCAGTTTCAGGATTAGACCTTACCCGCATATCATCACTTAATAATAAGCGCGCAGCAATGTGGAACCGGAGCCCATTAGCGTCCATGATCGATTAAATTACTATCCAATGAATGCGGATTGTTTCTCAGTCGTACGGCCAGCACTCCAACAGCAGTATGCTGTCCTTGTGCATAAATATTGGAGCGACGCAGAGCGCAAGCTTCTAGTATAATCAGACTCAAATTATCTGCGACATTGCAGAAAATGTTACTCATTGTGAAATAATCCATCCCTCAGCGCCATCGTTGTACAGGGCCATGAATGGCAGTGATGAAAATCCCCTATCGCTGAATTGTCAGTGAAAGACTAAAGGGCCATTCTAGCCTTAGTCGTGACTATAGTCAACCATAAGGACTAAAGGATGGAAGACCATTTCTCTCAAGGTGCAGAATCCCGTTTTGACGGGGTGTTTGTTTATGGGTGCACGAATTATAGTTCATTTGATCCCAAAAAAGGTGGAATCTACCGAATTTCAATACCTACATACATACCTGCTGAAATAGGACGAGCGCGGTGCCTTGCATCAGTTGCTACATAGTCTTGACTGACTGATAGCATCACTTCTGTATGCCGTTAATTCGAGTCTAACTTTTCATTTGCAGTTGATCAAAATTGGGGAACAATTCCGATTGGGATACGGGACAAAGGATTCGATATTGATAAGGAGAAAGACATGAAAATCGAATATCGATCTATGGGTAGATTCGCATCAGAACTTAAAACCCCACATGAGGACCTTTTATACTGAATGCATACGAACGTTTAGAGCACGAATTGGATGATCTTCTTCAACTGCTGCCTCCAGCCCAATGTTTCGAGTGGGAAGGCGTTCATGCGCTGACGACCCAGCCACAACGAGTGCGTTTCTTTTTGCTCATACATGTCATTTTTGTTACTTCACATATTTCTACCCTCTAGCGAATGTGGGGTAGCAACTTTTTCTAGTTTCAACACTGACACTCCCAACCCTGGTCTCTCCCATTTAGACGCTTCTTGGAGCCTGAACTGGCTCTACTTAGAGCTGGCTTGTAGAGGCTAGGACATGTCATCTGGAAATCTAGTTTAAAAGCTTTTACTTCTAAGCGAAGAAATTGTTGTCCAGTAGGGCACGTATGTATGCGTGGTCTGGAATGAAGTAAAACAGAAAATCGGACGCTAAGGTAGTTGGAGGAGGCCACGGGGCGACAGTAGTGACGAGCCTGGTCGTCCGCGCTTTTCTGAGCCTGGACCTGCGAGGAGTAAGGGACCACTACCTCGGTGAAAAGAAAAGCGAAAACCGACCCGAGTTGCTGCATCACCCTACCCTCAACTCGTGATTCGCCAGATACATTACCGCAGGAAATTGGACCTTGGACTGTCCTGAGTTCTTCGTGAGTGTTTAGGTGCCAGAAGTTAGTGCCGTTGAAGCACTTTTGGCTCCTCCAAAGTCGATGGGTTCATTCAGCGGTATCCTATTGTTGCACGATTACGACTGCTAAGCCTTCTCGTCGTTTATACCGATACTGTGAGGGGGGACAACCAAGGCAATACTCATCAGTAGACAACATTGACTGCAGAAGTTCCCCGTTTTTCAGAATGTGGCCGTTATCACTGGATCACGGACATCCGACTCGACATTGTGTCACCAAAGGATCAATCACGAACGGTGTGAACGCTGCTGCCTAATCGCCGCAGGCTGTTATTGCAACCTGACCTTTGAGCAGGTCCTGTCTATCGAGAAGATGCAAAAATATTCACTTAAAATTTGCTTTAATACCAACAATTACCTACTTTACTGAGAACGCTAATTTATCGCAGTTACTCCGCGTGTGAACGAAAATTACTGGGCATAGTATAATAGCCGGTGAATGTACCGTTGAAACTAGCGACACCCGCCATAAGCATCTGCCTGAATTTTGCTGGAGACCCCCTCATGCTTGAGGTCTCAATAGAATTGATTCTGTGACACATTTTCTGGCGCCATAGAATAGTTCTAATCGAATTCACCGGTTGTCGGTGAAATCATCTCCAAGGGTCACAAATATCTTCATTTTCGTTTCACCATCCCTCAAACGTCCTCCAGTCCATTCCACATATACTTCGAATCCCTGAGGTGCGGTGGGTGTGGCCACGTACTTCATTCGAACGTGGCGGCAGCTGTTCCTTTGGTGGAGTATTTCTATTTCAAGACACTGTAATAACGTCTCACAATCAGTCCACACAACGTAAGATGACAGCAGTCCCAAGTTCAATCTTGTCACCACCCATCTCATATCATGCCCAAATTAAGCAGGCAACCTCGCCTACCGCGGCTCCGCGGTAAAACTCATCGGCGAGCGCACGCGTCACGCGCTTCTGTCGCCGCAGCAGAAAAGCCGCAAAAAGAAAAAAAGCGCGTTTTACCGCTGCAGTCATGAGAAAACTGTGAAAAACTTAAATCCAAAAACATAAGAACTTAAAACAATTTCTAAAAAATGTTCATTCATCTCATTGCAAGTAAAGCTCTTGACTCATTTAAAGCAACATTTCAACACGTTCTCTACCAGAATGTTTCACCGTGTAAACCTCACCGATTAGGAACAGAAAAATGAAATAATTCTTTCTACTTTCCTCCTACTAACAGCTAATATACTCGTCAATCAATGAGAAACATTATAGAGTGTGAGAGCGAGAGCGTGTAAGAGCGAGCTACCTAGGAGTTAATAATACAAGTATCACAATCGATCACAAGATACTGCTAGGACCGGGAAAGACTCGAGTTGTTAGACTACACCAGTAATGTTAAAGCAACATTATTACGTACTTCTTTGGAACTTGATCTAGATTGGGCATACGGCACAGAAGCGCAGCGCGGCCCACCTATAAACCCTCAAAGAGGCAGTGCAGTTTTTAGAGTCTGGGAGAAGGCGAAGTTGGTATCGTAATTTTTGATCGGCTGCTAGACCACACAGGGATTCTAAAAAAAGCTATGTCTCACGTGAGCGCACCGTACACCCCAAAGATAAAAGCGAGCGATTATAAACAACAAGGGGAGTCCCAAAGAAAGGTAAAAAGATCACGGGAGCGCAAAGGATAAAGTCAGGCCGCACCGTATACCCAAGTACTGTTGAATAGGACAAAATATCGAGTAAAAAGATAACAACTAATACTTAACACTGATCGAGCGCGAGAGCCCACAAGCTACATGCCTTTGTTACTAAACAACTCTGGATATCCTAGAAAGACAGCGTCCACCCAAGGTCAGGGCTTCATCCGCCTGCCTCTCTAGGGCGCACCATCACATAGCCATCACAGGTGGGGCTCCGAGGAGAGAAATGCCTTCACGGAGCGCCGCTCTGCTAGCCGATAACAGCAGGAGTCGAGGCACAGCTACCTGGAAAAACATTCATTGAAAAACGGTATCATTGAAATTAAACCAGGAACAGGCACATCAGATTCAAAGAAAGTCAGAATTCTAGACAAGACTGGAATGGGCAAATTCTGGAACTAAATGCTTATAACGTCGATGTTCAACTACCGCGATATCGAGCTTTGCTGAATGTTTTCCTCGCATACTGGAAAACTGCATTACTCCTAACGCAGAAGTTGCCTTCAGAACCGCAATGTATCTCCAAAATCCCCGATCATATGCTAGATACTGGAAACTCCAAGGATTCCAGGCGATCTCGTAATAGATGAAGGAATGAGATCATACTTTAAAGGCAGCGCCCGCGTTCAAATGTGATGAGTATGCGGCTCAGGTAGTAAGAGCAAAAATGAATCAATGTCAGCAGTGGGTCACCCGTTGAGAAGTGCGCAGCACACCACCTGCGGGCAGAGCGTGCAGAGGGCTGGGCGAAGCCAAGAAAAAAAATCTTCGAAACGTTCCCAGAGCAGTCCAGACACCGGCAAAAGGTGAGCAAGATGTGCAAGACCTCGACTATTGAAGTGAGATAGACACGCCCATTGTGGGCGAGACAGGTGTCGAGGTGAGAGGGGCAAAAGTCAGGAAATCCACGAGTTGCTTGCAGAGCAGCACATGCACCGGGGACCTGATGGAATTCCTACTTCACGACCTCCTGAAGCACGGAATCAGTGAGATAAAGGTGAGCAAAAATGCACGTACGTCTAGCGGCTGTCCTTTAACCTTCGCTTGAGATGTAACACTTCCGATGTGGTGACACAGTTCGATGAGATACACAACTAACTGACAAGGTTCAAAGTTCTCAGCGCTACCGGTAATCACCTAAAATCCTTTTCAGCATAATTTTCAGAGAAAAGAATCATGCAAGTCCGTCAAATAAATTCTCACATCTGGGAACTTTTCAATCTGGTTGACTAATTTCCCAAATTCCGGTGTCTCCAAGGGAATTGAGTCGCATCTGTCCAACAAAGGTAAAAGCTCGGCGCTGTTCGCTTCGATAGAACACAAGCGACTATGTTTCACATGAAATACGAAACGATTTGAACCTTGAATGCTAGGGACAGTTACCGAACTGATGTGCAGAGGTCTAATCTTACTTGAAGCAACAGTGCATTGTTGTGATTAAGATCAAATGCGTTCTTGAACGAAAACTCGTATTCAGCTAACTTCGCCCTCTTCAAATCATTGAATATCACAGTTGATATGGAGAGCTGACGTGCTACCTGAATTCGCCAGAAATAAACTACAGAGAACATTCTTCTTCTGTACTACTACACATACTTCTTCCTCTTTCTCAGGCGGTACTTTAACAGTTTTGGATTCCTTCATGAACTGAAGAGCCAACTCCGTACCACGTTTAATGATGTCTCCAACCACTTCTGTCCGACCCATCCTAGACTGAGAACAAATAAAGGAGCTCACTCTTGTCAAAGAAATGCCATGAAACTAAACTTGTAGCTATGTTATTGTCCTAAACTAATCGGTAGCAAGGGTACTGACAAAGGAACTGAACGGTCC